TGACCTACAAACGTTGCTAAAATAAACACTTCAATTCAGGCGTGCATTGCACGAGGTGTTTCCATATTTTTGTCCATCCCCTGTAATTGTCTTTGAATAAACGTTATACATAAAAATTTTGACTTCAATTCAGGCGTGCATTGCACGAGGTGTTTCCATATTTTTGTCCATCCCCTGTAATTGTCTTTGAATAAACGTTATACATAAAATTTTTTGAGTATTTTTTTTTCGACCTGGAATGCATTATCGTATTTTACATTAATTTATATGGGAAAAATTGTTTCGCATTACGAGTAAGATTCTGGAACAAATTATGCTTGTTAAGTGAGGTTCCACTGTATTTAATCACTGCTTGCCACTCTTTTGCAGTGAAATGTCTGTTGTTTTGCCCATTTTCACTTTAGATCTGCAACAAGCTTTAAATAATCAGGCTACAATTATGAAATTTAGGTCAGACATATACGAAATAATAAAATTTAATGTGATAAATGTAGGTGAAATAGGGAAAATCAAAGACTTATCAATACCCCTATGTTCACAGAGTAGGAATATTACAGTGTGACAAAGGATGGCTGTTATTACCAAAATCCTGGAGGAAGAGGAAAGTAGCTGCTTTAGAGGCAAAATTATATAGAGGATCTTAATGTTAAAATTGGTTTTATGGAAATAAATATTGTGGTGATGAGAACTAGAAGAAGTATCCATGGCAGATTTGTAATGTTTTTCAGCATAATTATCACTTTTCCAGGGTTTGGCAGTTTGTTCTGTAACTGCAAAATATATAATGTAATAAACTTGATGACACAGTATATGACATGACATTGCTGTCATCTGCTGTCATACCATTCACTTTATTTTAAATTCCATAGATCCTTTCAGGTCACGCATGCCATAGGATATAGAACATGTCAAAATACATAAACACAAATGGACCCATCAACTTGCAATACAGTCACAGTACAAAATTTGTACATAAAATATTCAAATATGGCTGCTGTAATTTATATAGAATTGTTAATTGTTCTGTAGAATACTGGACTGTTTGTAGTGATTAGTGGTATTCTTGTAGGCTCCCAGTAGTCTCCTGGATGCGCTTGAGCAGCACCTAGCTTCCCTTGAAGGGAAGAAAGGGTCTGCAGCTAACACACCAACTCAGACTGCCAGGTGAGTTACTGTGTGTCCCACCAAATATATTGAGAGTGGAAGTCGTCCTCACAAAAATTAAGATATCTGTAGTTGTGATTTATAAATATGTTGTTCATCATAGTGGCAAATAGAATTGTATGATTTGGCTATGTTCACTAAAATAAAGGATGATCAGTTCAGCATTGCTATGAATAATAATAAAATTACTTCTCTGTACCCAGTAATACTAAGTTTTGCTGAATAACATAACTTAGATGTCTTCACTATGAAACAAGTTATGTAGTTTTTGTGTCATCTCATCAGTGAAAGTGGATTTTTGATGTAGCATATTGCACTTCATCTTAACAAGAAATTATTGCACAGAAATAATGTAATGACACAAAGGAATGTGATGTGAATATGCAGATTATGTATGTCAGATTCCACTTTGTAAGAGTATGGGGTGTGTCAACTTTGTGACATTACCTTGAACTTGAAAATCAAAGGGGCTGTACTGTCTTATGATAAATTGCTTTTCTAGCTTTTGTATAAACTGTTATGATACTGTATTTTCTTTTGTTTTGTTTTTATTTTCCTGCCAAAATATTATGTGTTACTGAAATGCTTCAGCAAAGCCCAGTTATCCTGTCCTGACATTGTTTCAACAGCTGCCTTGCCAGAAATTGACTTGTGCAATACCATTTACCATTCAACATTCCTAGTGTATTGGTAATTTAGAGTTTCAGCATTTCATGGTGTGATGTATTCAGTTTGCATGTATATCTGTCTTAGCCAAGTTCATTGCAATATGAAGCAACTCATTTTTTGTCTCAAGGCTATTTGCTTTCTCCTGGTCTGCCCTGTGGGTTTTTTCTTTTCAACCTGTAGAAGACCCAGAGTTAAGAAAGAATGAATGAACACACATAATGATAGACCTTGGAGCACCTCCACTATACACAGAGTGGAGTGGTGGACGAATAAGAAGGGTAGTGTCCTTGACCAGTCATTAGAGCTTACCTGTGCTGTAGTGTAACCCCTCTTGTGTGGACAGAGTCTGTGTGAATAAGGGTGAGGGCAAACTAAGGAAACTGGCAACCTCGATGCAACCACAATTTCCAAGAATTGCTATCAGCCTGAGTTGAACACATGTTACTGAATGGAGCAGTGCAGATTAAGGAAACACAACAGCAATTCCCGAGAACTTTTATCAGCCTGAGTTGAACGTATATATTACACAGTTTCCTCAATTTGCGCTGCTCCATTCAGTAGCATATGTTCAACTCAGGCTGATAACAATTCTTGGGAATTGCTGTTGCATTGCGGTTGCCAGTTTCCTTGGTGTGCCCTCACCCTAATAAGGCAGCAACTTGGCACTTCGGTTTATAATATTATTATACTCTTTGAAAATTTGTTAATAAATAACTACATTGTACGGGGCATTATTTATGCACTATGTAGGTATTCAGCTGTTTTAGGAAGTTCTTGTGCTGCTGTGAAAGTCAAGGGCACATCCATGACACCATAGGTGTCCAGTGATAGAGTGAAAAACCGAGCGAGTTGGCTCAAGCAGTGATGCTTTTGCCTTATATTTAGGAACTGCTGGGTTCACATCTCAGCCAGGGCATTGACTACTGGCACTTGGGTTTTGTGATTTTTCCCAGTCTCTCTGGGTAAATGTCAGGATGTTACTTCAGATTAAGTCGCAAACAATCTCTTCCACATCCTTTCCAATTCATTATTTGCTGATCATTCTGCCATTTAGAGCTGCTGGCAGCATTATTGAGTAAGCAGTAAATAAATAGCATACATTTCCAATGTTTAATATGCACTTAATTTCATCAGTAGTATGATTTGTATTACTTGTTATTTCAGGTACTTGAATTTAAGCTATTTTGTAGTGAAAACAGTTTCTTCAAATGTAGTTAAGTCTGTATTTGGCTTTGCAGTAACCCATGCCTATTTATTCAGTTTCCCATTGTTCAAGTGTAGTTAAAATCTGTGTTTAATTTTGGAATATCTTTTGTCCATTTGTTCAGTTTCATAGTGATCCAGATATTCTTTGATTGTTTGCATAATACATGCATGAGCGTAGTCTCTCTTTTTTCTGTGTTCACAGTGTGTTATTACTGCAGAAGTTATGTGTTGGCAATATGTGTCTCTTGCATTGACATTTTTTACAGCTTATCAAAGTGTTTACAACATCGTTTGGCATTGTAACCAACAAACCAACCAGAAATCCTCAAAAATTTCAGTCAAGTCCAGTACAGGCTTGCTTACACTCTAGTATACTCTCATGTCCTTCACATTCCAAGGTATTGTTTCCAAGAGATTTGTTTAACTTTATAAAATGAGATAATGAGAGGTAAAGAGTTGAGGTTGGAGTGAAATGTGTTATGGCAAAAGTGAAAATGATTGTACTCTTAATTAATTTCATGAGATATGCCCCTCAAGTAATATCTAAAGGTATGCAGTGCTGTGTTTCTTGTTCATATTTAAAATACCCTTGTTGTACTTTGAAATTTCCAGTCTTGTCTACCCTCTGTGTGTTTGTGTACAAACAAACTCCCACTTTACATGTAGAACAGTTTGGGAATGACTAGGTTCAGAGGTTGGATCCTCCAGTATACTCATGGGAATGGATCCAGTAGAAGTCAGAGTGCTTAAAGGGTGGCTAAAACTTATCCACCCTAAGTTCATACAATGCACATTAACTACATGTATCTTCATTGTAGAGGCATTTCTTATGGTCATTTGCACATCATTGTCATGTGTGCCTTCAAATTATAATTATCAAGCTCTTCACTATAACATTTCTTAAGTCATTTGTCCATTTTTCTATCCTTCTTACCTATTTGGATACAGTTTGTTTGTATATAGGAATTAGGTTATCCATCAACAAAACAAAATATTCTTGTTTTACAAAGTTTTACAATTCAGTTTTTTATTCTTGCTACATTTTGGCTGTACCAGATCATCATCAGGCAGTTTATATAGGAATAAATTTAGTTATTTAACTACTGATATGGATCCATACCAGTGAATGTGTCATATTATGTACTAACTGATAAAATTTGCCTCAAGTTGATAAGTGTTAAAATTAAAATAGAAGATACAAAATAAGATAGAGGTAAAAAACATTGAACCAATGAACAGGTAGTACACACCAAACATATGTACTCCCAGACAAAATGCATACGTCATATTTTATGATCATAAAACTGAACTCTAAACTAAATTCTGTGGCTTGATTCCGCAAGCAAACTATACCGACTGAGCGTCCGCCACTTGTCGGCAAAGTTAGTGCCAACTTTAGCACATAGAGTGTGTCACAAAGGTCAGCGCAACAAGTTCCCACGGCCATTAATGTCAGTTTTCTAGACTGGAGCTGCTATTTCCTTGAAATAGCTCATAAGTTTTCCTCTTGAGGCTGAGTGGACCCCGTTCCAGGCCCACTACTTCTCAGAAAATCTGGTAGCACTGGGAATCCAACCCAGACCTCTGGATCTGTAGCCAGGAACTCTGACCACTAGACCACAGAGGCAGTCTTTTATGATCATATAATGATACATATCGTGAAATATGTAGACCTAGTATACAACACATTAACAACCCATACAACTTGTCTCTGGGCTCCACGACCAGGCATACTGTACAGAAAACTTCCAACAACAAATACCTACAAATGACATAACATGCCCAATTCTCCAGTGTAGCATTGGAACCTTAGAATTAAGTTGGCATACATATTTCTTAACCTCCCATACTAAATAGTTTTCAGTATTTTTAAAACATTTTTAAGTATTTTTAGTATTTCCATAATATATTCAGCAATTTAAATTTTAATATATGGTATGTATTTCATTTTTTATATTTTATCTGTTATCTTATTTTGTATTTTCTATTTTTTTTTGTAATAGTTACCAACTTGAGGCAAATTTTATCTGTTAGTATATAATGCAACATGTTGCACTGGTATGGATCCATATCAGTAGTTCAATAACTAAAAGTATTCCTGTATATAACTGCCTGATGATGGTCTTGAACAACTGAAACTTGTAGCTCTAATAAAAAAATTTAATTGTAAAACATTAAAAACGAGTATATTTTGTTGTATTGATGGTTAACCTAATTACTATATATATCTGGAAAACATGAAGTTTTGCATCCAATGAAGACAGTTTATTTGGCCTTCATGTAGTCCAGTTTTTCAGTAGTACCATATTGCATGTTATACTGCAAGCAGAAATAATTTCAATACAAGAAATTCTCTAGTATTGACCATTGAAAGACAGTAAAACTCTAAAATCATGTCAGGTTATAAGTTACATCATACTAACCTTTATCATTCATCGTTAGTACTCTTTGTCAGCACGTGCAAGTCCAGGTGGCTCCATCTGGCCTACTGAGTCACTGTTCACAGTATAAATCCCATTATTGGCTGGCGTTTGTCATGTGTCAGTAGATATGAATGCTTCTGCAGTAAATGATGAATTGGAAAGGATGTGAAGAGGTCTAATTTAAAATACTTTTTTTACATTTGTCTTGAGGGACTGAGGAAAACTACAGAAAACCTCTGTCAGAATATTTGGCCTCCAAGCCAAGATACTGGATGTGGGACCTCCTGATTATGACCACTAGACTATAGTGTTTGGTGAAAAATTGGCTCATAAGATGTCATAGAAGTCTTCTTAGGATGAACTTGTGCAAATTTTAGTTGAAAAATTTTTCATAAAACGCAGTTAACTGCAAAGAAAATAATTTATATTTTTAATGTGATCAGCTATGAAGTAGTGGATTTTTATCTACAATGAATGAACATCGAAGCTACTGAGATATGCTGAACTGGAAGGAATGAATTTGTAAAATATATGTATTCCAGTATCATATTTAAGCATCCTGTTGCACTCTATACGATAAATGATATAATGATATAAACTCCGTCCCACGTGCAAACAATATATTATGTGTCCTTGATCTTGCTCCTTTACACTACATGTTTCGGCCTCAGACGGCCATCATCAGGTGTATAACACTCACGTTGCTGTCACACTGCACCCAGCCCAAAATTTAACATTTAAAACACTTTCCTTGTTATTATCAACATCTACTTCGTTGATATCTGTCT